TATGTATATATTTGTGTATATATGTATATATTTGTGTATATATGTATATATTTGTGTATATATGTATATATTTGTGTATATATGTATATGTATGTATATATACATGCATATATATACATATACATACATATATATACATATATACATGCATATATATATGTATGTATATATATGTATGTATATATACCTAGTCCTGCCGTAAGTTCTATTACAAGAAAAAGGGCCATTAGGGAATAGAGAAACTTGATAATTTGAAAAAGAAATTTATTTTAAAAAATCCAATATTTTTTAAGATTGAAATAAAATAATATTACTCGAAATGACCACCTTTTGCCTTCACACAAGCTTTTAGTCTTCGGGGCCAATCATCTATGGCAGTACGCAACACGTCTTGAGGAAATTTCTCAACTGCTTTTAGCAGAGCGGACTTGAGGCCCTCTAAATTGGCGTGTTTCCTGTGGCAAGCCATAAGCTCAAGAAGGGAGCACACCTTGTAGTCCAGAGGATTCAAATCTGGGCTTCCCGAGGGCCAATCTGAAGCCTTAATGGATTCCGGAACATTCTCCTCCAGCCACTGCTGAGTTGTTCGGGCCTTGTGCGCAGGAGCTGAGTCCTGTTGGAAGACCCAATGAGTTCCGGAAAAAAGTGGCTTTACTACTTTCTCAAGGATGTCTTCTTGGTAATTTTTCGCCCTTGTTTTGACTCCTTGCTCACAAAAATGGAGTTTTGTGGTGCCATCGTAGCAAACTCCCCACCACACCATTAGGATGATGGCCTCTTTCTACCCTTCCGATTTTTTTCCTGAGCTTCTAGAGAACTTCTAGCATAAACCTTGTCATTTTTACGGTTAAATTTTTCCTCGATGGTAAAATTTTTCTCATCGGTAAAGAAGATGTTTCGATGAACTCCATTGGTGTACCGGGTCAACAATGCCTTGGCTCTTTCGACTCTAATTTTTTTAAAAGATACTGTAAGCCTTTGTCCTGTCATTCTACGGTAAGCACTCATCGAAAGNTATATATATACGAGGAACTACGCCTTCTGCTGGTACATAAAGCGTCTGACACCCCTTGGGATCACAATATGAACGAATCGAAATCTAACAACAGACAATTGTTATACATCCTAAATGTTCAATTTATCACTGATTTTCCTAATTATGTGAAATTGTAAAAATTGGTATAAAATTTGTTATAAAAATGGAAGCCAATTTGTACCCCATGTGACAGCTTCGTAGGTTAAAATCAAAGTAATAAGCTTTTTAAGTCAAGTTGCTTACAATTTCAAGTTGGCTTGTTACCTTTCAACATAGGGGTCATTTCGACTTCTTCTTCGTGTATTGAAGGAGTTCTCGCCATTTGCAAATATCCAGGTGGTGTACTAGGAACTGGCGCTTCAACGCCTTCGGAGACATTTACATAATTCGGTTGGTTGAACATTTGTACATAGTCCGCTTGCTGGTACAGTTTGTTATTTAATTCTTGGTATGGGTTATTTAAAGTCTCGTAGCGCTGTCTGACATTCTCCTGTAGCATGTTTCCTATCCTTTCCGAGCATTCGGTGAACGAAGGCCTCAACGTGGGTTCCTCTCGCCAGCACTCCAGCATTAAATTGTAACTGAAAAATGATTTGAGTATAAGCATGCTTAGCTGAAGTTATTTAAATCTTAACTTACATGTCTATAGTTGCATAAGGAGGCATGTCCATTCTGTACCCCCCTAGTAGTGAGTTGAACAAGTCTCCCCCCATTTGAATTCCTATAATAAAATAATTACATGTTAACACTAAATGCATATAATAAACTATCAAAAACATTTACATGTAGTCAAAAGAAAACCGGACCCTTCTACAAATTCACGGTTTTTGACGGTATCGTTTTCCAGGTCTTCTTCAGACACTTTCATTACTTTCTGGACTTTTACAAGGTATTTCCTTGCACGTTTCTCTCTTTGGTGCTTTGTTTTGCAGTTTCACTGAATACCAGCGAATAGGTTTTAAATAGTAGAAACTGTTGAATGCTTGCTGGTCACTAAAGGGAATGTATATCTCTGGTGTTGAGCTACTCAGAAACATACTTTACGTGTCTGATCATTATCAAGCATAAACAATGATCCAGTGCTTAATAAAGGCATAAAAAGGCACTACATGATCTAGTAGGATATCCACATATCTTAAGGCATTACAGAACCCCCCCCCCCAATGGATTAGTACCAACTTGGTACCTCACAAAAAATATCCAGAACTTGGTAAACCTTCCTCCAAATTCACAAATTTCGTGGTCCGCTTGACCAATTAATATATTACAATTAATTAACGATCTTCGGCTTGATACACCGCTGCTCTACCACTTGAGCTATCGTGACTTCGACCCACTCGGACACCAACTTCCCATCTCAACCGCACCTTTTGAATTTGAGATGGGAAGTTAGTGTCCGAGTGGATCGAAGTCACGATAGCTCAAGTGGTAGAGCAGCAGCGTATCAAGCCGAAGATCGTGGGTTCGAATCCCACTCGTGCCATTGACTTTTTTATCTCAACTAAAAACCTTCCTCCAAATGTTCAACACTAATGACAGTCATTCTCCAGGTCTTCTCCAGACTATTTCACACCCAACTGGACTGTGAAGGGCCACTCCCGTCTTATCGGTGTTTGATATTCCCTTGCAAATCTTAGTCTGTTCTGTGGTTGGAAGGTCTTTCATGGGCCATCTTGATCTAAGGTTTGAATCTGGGTCTTCTTCTTACAGTCGACTCCAACAAATCATTAGGCCTCTTTCAGACAAAAGCAGCTAGTTTACTCAACTAGTCGAACAGACAGGTGTCTGATGTTGAGAACCGCACCTGTACCCCTTCACACACAGTGAACTCATCTGCCCAAGCAGGTGGCCAGAAGTTACAAGTGATACACTTTCTCATCCCTACTGGTCAACTCTAAACAAAAGTCATTTGTCCTTCATACCGATCGCTTATTTGAGTTTCACCATGGAAGGTGTTGCAATTGCAAGTTTCAATGTAGAACGGTTCATTGAAGAAACTCATGGACATGAGGTTAATTGTGAGAAAGTGCCAGTTTCCTGACTATGTAACAATGGATGAACAGGTTTAGACGTCAAATTGATCTCTCATTGGGAAGAGAAGTTAACTTCACAGGTTACCAAGTGTGAAACTAGCCAAGAAAGAGTTCAAACGAGAGTCAACTAGACAACTTAGTTGAATAAACTAAACTGCCTCATCTGAAAGAGGCCTTAGCCTAAAGTTTGGCTACTCGGTCTTCTTCTTACAGTCGACTTTGAGAGATTGATATCCTTCCAATTCCAGCAATCTTAATGCCAGAAGCTGTTGAATTGCACTTCCAGATTGCTTGCATTTTACTAAAATGGTGATTTTTTGGGATGCCCTCAATTTGGTCAGCTCAAGTGACTCTCTGAAAGAGGTTTTCCCTACCCAGGGCTACAAAAAGGCAAAATCTTATTGAAAGGAGCATTGAAATGAACCAAGAAAAAATTGACCCTTCATAGGTAAACAGTCCCCGATGTTTTTTTTTTCTCAAAAAATATCCTGATTTATAGGTGTTGCAATATTTTTGACATGAAGTTTATATTGTAAATTGATCATCTCTGCCACACAAAACAGTTGGAAGCTTGAAAGTTGGTCATTTCTGATTATTTAGTCATCGGGTTCTTCATCCTGTAGACTACATGAAGATTTCACACACAAAAAAAAGAACATGCTGTAGTTTGTAACTATGAATTTGTTCCAAAAAGAGTGTTCCATCAACTTCAATTCAATTGTATTCATTAAAAAAAAATTTCATTAAAATAAACAAACTGTCCTACCAGGATATGGGGTATTCGAGAGTGAAAATATTTCCCACAGAGTTATACCATATGCCCAGATATCAGACTGTGTTGAGAAAATTCGATCTCTGATGGCCTCGATGGACATCCACTTGACTGGCAATTTTGGCTGTGAATGCAAAAAATAATATTACTGAATATTCTACTTTTGTCATTTATAATTTAATCTATTTAGTAAAACGACAACAAATAACTTACATTTCCTGATTTAGTGTAATTTTCTTTATCATACATATTTTTAGCCAAACCAAAATCACATATTTTGACGATGTTATTTTCAGCAAGTAGTATGTTTCTTGCTGCAAGATCCCCATGAAGAACCTGATGTATAAAAATAATTATTAACAACTGATCTCATTAATTTTACTAATAAAGTATTATTAAGGGTATTTTTTGTTAGAATGATTTTTTTAAATTGTTGGTGGTTGTTTTGTGAATTTGGTCAGAACTTCTAGTTTTTAGCCTATCATTTATTCATCAATGTTTTGCGAGATTTTTAAACCTGTTTTTTCAAGGCAGAATGCTAAGAGTAATCCTGTCATACAGGAGGGCTGTCCAACTAACCATTGGTTATCGCAGACGAGGGGTCAGAAACTTTATGCTACTTCTTTCAGACTATTCTGTGTCAAGATTCAAACTCAGAGCTGCTAGCATGGCAAATCAGTCAGATGCCCTAACCATTTGGCCACTACAGTCCCCTGGCATGTGAAGATACTCAACAGGGGGAAAAAATAGTTTACTTAAAATTACTGGCCAATGATTCTGCTTGTCTTCTTTCTAATCTTAGAAAAGGTTCTACTCACATTCCTAGTCCCAAGTAATCATAGCTCAAAGCCATTTCAGCTTCTGGTCTCTCCACCCTTGATGCACAATAATTCCTGGTTGTTCGTGAAATTCTAATCACAAGGAAAAAATACTTGCTAGGGAATCTTCACATATCAAGAAAGAATTTGATCATGCTCAACATGTCCCCAAGTCTGACCTGGCTTGCCAAACTTACTCTGTGTGTTATGGAGAAACTTAAGAGCTATTGTATCCCCCATTCTCTGCCTAAAGCACATCGTTGAGTCCTATTTCATCAAGAAATTTGATTAATAGGCCCGGTTTCAGTGGTTGAAGCTCTTCTATGGTCACATTATACATCCCAAAACATTTCCTCCTGCGGGCTAATGTAGCTCCGCAGTTTGTTAGTAAATGTGTTGGTGTCTCTTCTGCCTCCTTGCAGAATCTGCATGTGTCATCTTGGATTGTTCCAATTTTCTGTGTCCATTTAATCTGCAGTGTCCTGTTAGGATTCGCAGTCTGTTCCTGCTTCCTTTGACACATTCTGTGATTTCTTTCCTACCAAAATTGGTTAGAAGATTCTTGGATTGTCTATGTCCAATGAGTGAATTCCAAAGTTCCCTCATTTTCTTTTTGTCCTTCTGTCTGAGATATTTGTTAGTAATGTGGATTCCTATGCCACAGAAGGGTTCAGGTCCTATCAGCGGTGTGGCAGCTCCTTTCCTTGCAAGGGTGTCCGCTTTCAACTCCCATGTGTCCTGGGACCCAGCAGAGGCTTACTTTATTCTGCATACCTAATATGTTTAGTTTGGTTTTGCAGTTCAGCACCATCCTTGAACTAATGGTATTTGAGCTTAGTGCTTTGATGGCTGCTTGGCTATCTGACATGACAGCTATGTTCTTGTTTTGTACCCTTTACTTAGATTGAATTGGGTACATCTTTTGATTGCATGAATCTCAGCTTGGAAGATACTAGTGTGTTTTCCCATGGGTTCTGAGTATTTGGTTCCAGGTCCAAATACTCCTGCCCCCGTACCTTCTTGTGTTCTAGATCCATCTGTGTACCAGAGGATGGTGCCATTTTTAAAGGTGGTGTTTTCCTCTCGTTCCCATTCTTTTTTGGTACCCAGGTTTATTTGGAAGTTTTGGTTAAATTCAAACATCCTTTTCATGTCTTCTCCTAGAGCCATGAGTATCGGATGGTCTTTCCATAGTTTATTGATATCTCTCCATTTCAGTTTTATTCCAGTTGGAGGTTTCTCTTTGATAAAGTTGATGATGGTTTTCTGCGCTGTCCTTACTACCATGTGATGTAGGGGGATTAATCCTAGTATTTTTTCCATGCTAATTTAGGACATGTTCTCATTGCTCCCGTTATGCAGATGCATGCAAGTCTCGGCATTTTTGTGAGTTCTTTCCTTTTGGTTATTTGTTCTGCTTTATCAGCCCAGGCTATAGCTCCATATCTAAGTTACTATCATGGTGTACATCCATAACAGGGTTTCCGGTCTGCATCCCCAGTTTCTTCCTGCTATTCTTCTGCACACCATCAAAGCTCGTGTCGCCTTCGTGATGGTAGAGCTGATGTGTTTCTTAAATGTTAGTGTTTTATCTAGTGTGATGCCCAGACATTTTTGATTTCTATCACGGTGTTATTGAGTATTATTTCCCTCATGTGATCAAGTTTCCTTTTCCGTGTAAAAGTGACTATAGTTGTTTCGTTGGGATTGATCCCTAAGCCAGCGCTTTTACACCATTCTTCTGTGATTTTTAGTCCCTCTTGGATTATATCACAGAGAGTTTCCTCGAATTTTCCCCTGGCAGTCAGGACTATGTCATCCGCATATCCCTGACATTTTATTCCTGAACGGTCCAGGGTTTCAACTTAAGAGCTTAGTCCCAGTCGAATGGGATTGCATCTGAAGTGGCACATAATATTTACATTTTACAGATGTACAACAAAGCGAGTTTAAAGATCGCCCATTCTCCTGTGGTAGCTAGCAACAGCCAAGAAGCTTACTCCGTACTTCGGAACTTTACGCACGATAGTACAAGATAAATTGGCAGTTCCTTACCACTGTCAATTGGTTCTTAAGTTCATGTAGGAAACCCACATCAAAAACGTGGACCAAAAATGTACTATTTGAAACATCTCGTTAGCAAAACAACCCTTTCATATGAATAGACTGATTTATCTTGTAATTATCCTACCAATTTAGCTTCACATGCCTAGTAACATCCCATTCGCAAAGATTTGGCATTAGAAAGATGCAAACCACAAACATTTATATCTGGTACTTTTTAAACTTTTTTTTTGTTCTTGTTCCTGCTTTTGAAACAAAATATCACCTGAGCAAGTAAAAGCAGTGTTAGCATCCATTTTGCTCACTTTCACACAGAAATCAAATACAAACTGAAAAGTGAGCGCTTCGGTGTAAATGGAAAAACCAGGACAATAGATGAAGTATAAGGAGTTAGCACATGTAGGGCTTTTTCCTACTAAAGTGAGTAAAGTGACTTTTATTAATTACATAATACGTACTTGAGAAAAAGAAAAAAAAATACAGCAGACTCACATTAGTCACACTTTCAGTCATCAACAGTTGAGAACTCCCTAATGAAGAATTGGAACAATTCATCGACCATAGAAGAGGAAGAGAGGATAAAGTAGAAGAAAAACAGGATTGAACAATAGAAAAATTTGGAGAAAGCTTTCAATAAAATTAAAAGTTGAACGACAAAGTCATAGAATATAATCCGATAGTAGAACATAGTGGAACAAGACATAAATGTATCACGAATGCTAACTCAAGCAACAGACTCCCCTACAAAATTTTCAGCAGTTGGAAAACCAGACTACATATAACAATGTTCCTTGTGAAAGCTGAAAGAGCAATCTTTACTGATTCATCACCATCTACTTCTAATTGTGGAATTTTGTTATTGTATTGCACCGTAGTTTTCTTATTGAAACAACTCTGAAATATATGTGCTTAAGTTAAACATAGCATTGATAAGCACACGAATACTGAAAGTATCTGATTGTTATGCAGGTAGGAGAAAATGCTTCGAAGTCTGGAATTCAATGTGTTTTCTATTATCTATGGTTCTTGTTATCTGCAAGGATGCTCGGCACCTATCCTATGCAGATAACTAGAGTCTACAGTATGACATGGATAGTGATCAGGGGAAAATAAAAAAAAATAAGACAAGTGAAGAAAATCCTTTTGAAAGACCCACTACGGTGTCTGTTAAAACAGAAAAAAAAAGGCAAAAACAATAAAACCTATTTGAAAAAAGAAGTAAAATCCCACAAAACATCAGCCAATATATACATATACAGTAGAATAAAAACTAGAAGTTCTCCATTATCAAAATAACCATCAATTATTATTATTTTTAGAGCTACTAAATACCTTTCTAGAAGCTAAATACTCCATTCCTTTTGCTATTTGGTAAGAATAGCAAAGAAGATCGGATGTATATATATTCTTATGTGGTGCTCTTTCTTCACTTTTCTTTACAAGTTCTTCCATTTCTTTATTCAATAAATAACCATCGTCACCTGTAATATGTGATATGCAGAATAACGTTCCAACAAATAAATTTAAATCTTATAAATTATAATTACCTATTGCAGTGTCAACTGTGACAGCAGCAGGATTGTCTGTTCCTTCGACAGTTTGATTAGCACCGTCTGAAGTTATTTGAGTCATGCAGGTGCCGTTGCTTTGAATGTTTGCATCCGTATCTGTTGATGTGGAGAATACAGATCTTGTCTTATAAAACCTGAAATAAAACGGTATAATTATAATAGTTTAATAATCAAGTAGTTATTGAATAATACCTGTGGTAAACGTTCGGGTTTACTTCTCCTTCTCTAAGGTGATTTACAAAAACATTTCTGTTTTTTAGTAGATAATTATGGAGATTTCCATATGGGCAATATTCTACTATTACTAGCAGCTCCTCTGTAAATTTTTTTTAAAAATATAGAGTCAAATATAAGATAATTAACATGAGTACTAACTTTTGTGTAAATTTGCTGTACAAGCACCAAGTAAATTCACAACATTCAAATGTTGCCCAAGGTATGCCATTATTTTCAGTTCTGTGGCAAGTTCTTTAACGTTGTTCCAATCTGAATTCATTTTCACTGCTACAATAGTGCTTTCTTCATTGTCGCGAATACCATGAGCGACTCCTTTCATAACAACACCAAAAGCACCACTTCCTACTTGTTTCCCTATAATGATAAGCATAATTAGATAAACTGCATGATGCAGGAGAATAAATTTGGCATCGTTTTTTACCTATTTGCAAATTGTGTCTCGGAAATTCCCATTTTCTGTCATAAGGCAAAAGGTTCGCCTGCTCGGCAATGCCCAAATCTGGATTCAAACTTTCAGTCTGGCCCTCTAAAAAGCTACTTAAACCTGCTTCTGCCAACTGTTTCCTTAGATCCTATTAAGAAGAAAAAATACCCATCTGCTCAGTACATCATCATCATTAACATAACACTGATAAAAAATTTACCTTTTCTTTTTTTACTCTCTTTAAAAGTAAAACCATTATGAAAAAGAATACCACCGCAATGCATATCAAACATGCCAGGAGAATCCACAGCCAAACTAAGCTTTCTGCTTGCAATTCTAAAACAATATTTTAATATTTTCTTACGGATGGAAAATCACAACGTAACTTGAGAGAAAATACAACTACATAAGCACATTTATTACACACTATATGTTTGATTTCATGAATATATTTTTTTCACGTGCAATCAGATCAGATAAAGTTTGTGAAGAAAGACGAATAAACAACTGAAATAGACAGAAATCAATGAAAATGCTTTTGTACTACAGTGGAGTCTTGATAATCGAAAAATCTGCCTTGTCCGAACACATCTGCAGAACTGCCAAAATTAGGAGAGCCAAGTGGAAAAGACAATCCCCTCAGAAAGGACTTTGTAGTGCCATAACCAAGTGATACCTGAGGGTGATGAAATTGGGAGGAACCCACTAAGTTGCAAGGGAAATGGTTGACAGAAGGCCAAAATCCAGAACAAGAAACTGGAGATTGAAACACCATCCAGAAAGCGGGCCAGAGAGCAATCAATAACCCTAAAGGAACTTAGGCAGAAAAAGAAAGCTAAACCATCCACACTCGCCTAGGTACACTAAAAAACCAAAAGTAGCTTTCCACTAGCTATGCAAGAGTGACAGTCTGCCAGAGGACTACCCACTGGTAGCACTGACATCAGAAAAAGAAGAAGAGTATCTTAGACAAAAAGACAAATTGAAAATAAGGAAACAGTGAATAAGCTAGAACTCACCGATGTGTGTAGCTACAGAACGGGGGATACAATAGCTCTCAAAGGGCGCAGTATATTACACACTTTGGACATTATATCTACATCAAAATCTATTCGAATAAGTACAATCACCAAATTGAAAAACTCTTCGCAAAAATAAATTTTTTCATTTTCCGGTTAAATTTCGATGGTGTATTTTGGCCACATTTCAATCACTATCGCCAATAGTAACCAGTGTAGTGATTCCCAATCAATTTGGGCAGCCTGTCCTCGATATTTTAGTAATTTAAAGCAATTCACCTTCTAGCCATCTTCATGGTGGATTTTTACCAAAATTTTTATTGAAAAGTGAAAATGAGGTGAAGCTGAAATGATAGGCAGACGTAAATGTTCAGAAACAACCAAACTACAAACAACCAGCTTGTTTTTCAACTTGCATATGTATTTCTTAACGGACCAGATAAGGTAAAACAGACCTTTGCCCAACAGCTGGTTTAACAGTATAAGCAAAATCTAAGCAGGTAATACTACACCATAAGGAAGTCCACATTATCAAGGGCAATTGCACTTTAGACCAACTCTTAATACCAAAGGGAAACTCATGAGGGTTATCAATTTCGTCAATGAAAAGACGCACACTGCTCGATATAGAAAAGACACGGCACTGACTGATAAAATACAACTTTACAGCTTACATTACCCGAAGGGTCTCTTTTGAGTCTCCTGAAACCGTACCCTGTCCATACATCAAAAGATCCATGATGGTGTACTCTATGGCTCTGTATTAGGGCCCATGCTGTTTATTATATTCTTAAATTTTACCATACAAAAACTGCGAATCTACGCTGTATACAGATACCTTTGCTTACAACATCCTCGAGACAAAGCACAATAGCTTAACCATGGCAAGAACTACAATAGCTGAAAATGGAAGCTTAAAATAAACCCGATAAAAGCATTAACAATCTTATTTACCGAGTGCAGACCACTACCAACTTGCACTGTTCAATTCACGGGCAGAGCGTACTGCAGGTTTGACTAGAACTCCCAGTTGCCAATTATCAAGCAGTTTAGACAAAGGAAAGGAAGCCATCAGACTTCTTTCCCTTTTTGGCATGTCCAAGATGAACACTTTTAACAAAAAGCTACCTGCCAGACCTATGCTACTTTATGCAGCCCAGACATGGAGCAACATTTGATATCACAGGGATAACAACAAATTCCTAAGGTTTATCACTGACAGCCCAAGGTGGACTAAAGTGCCTTCACTTGCGCCTAAGGGCGAGACTGTAAATAATAGAATCTGAGGTATAAAAAACTGCAGTGTTCTTAATAAATAAGTGCCTGTATTACTTGAACTCCATTGGTGCATAACTTCCTGCCCACTGGAAGTATCCAACATCCTTCAAGAAGCTCAGTCAAAGAAACAATCCTGGTCAAACACCTTCAACTATGATACTAGTGGTATTTTATGATATTAGATACCATAAAAGTTCATGTCAGTTTAAAGGGTTTAATAATTGCCTTTAAAATTAGTTTAATGTTATTTTATTTCGAGAAATAATCTCCATTGACACCTATAACCTTCTCCCAACAAGTTACTAGCTCAGTTATGCCCTTCTCAAGTTTGAGTTCAGGGACTTAAAAAATAAATACAGCTCTTTTTCCAGCTGTTGGCGATTATTGAACTCCCAGTACGCATAATATTATCCATTGCTTAGAAAAGTTAAAGTCAGATGGAGAGAAAGGAGGGTGAGGTAGGAGTTCCCAACCAAGCATTATCACTTCCTTTGTTGTTCTGGCTGTTTGAAGTCTCGCGTTGTCCTGGTGAAAAATTGCACCTTTTTTGTTCCCAGGAGCAGAATGTTTCTAGGCCAGGGTAAGAGATACTCATTGCAGTTGGCTTGAGTAAATTTCTGCAGTGATCTCTGGCTGCATATAGTTCGTAGTGCACAATACCTGCTGTACTACACCAAACACAAAGCATGTTGATGACTATTTGGTTTTTGGCGCCATTAGTATAGGGTAATTTGGTGACAGCTGATGATATGACCTCCTGGTGCACAGGGTCCAGTTTTCGTCGCATGTCACAATCTGGTCGAAAATGTCTATATTTTGTGCCGAGAAAACACTGTTCTACTACTTGAGTGAGACTCCACTGTATAATAAATTCCCATAAAATTTACCAAATCATATTACCAAACAGCTTTGACAATTTTATATAAAAACAACAAAGACAAAAAAGAAAACTTACCAAATGGGAACAAAACCACATGGGTTTCGAAATTTAATGCTGCATGTAATCAAATACGATGATATTTAATTAGCTTTTAATGTAATTATAATATAGGCCACATAAAGAGAAACTATAACTGTAATTTAAATTATCAGAACAAATTTGGAAAATACATAAAATTTTCATATCATTGATTTCATGTTATTAGGGTTCAGGGTTAAATACTAAACGCAATTACCAAATAAGTAGTCAAGTCCAGAGCCATTTAGGATTGCATTGGGGCATAAGTATCAGATGTTGGGGGCAAGAAAATTGCCCTTGCCTGGGTTTGAGGTCCTACACCGAGGGGCAATAAGGAGGCCGATGAATTGACTAAGGAATTTTTAGTTGAGATAAAAAAGTCAATGGCACGAGCAGGATTCGAACCCACAACCTTCGGCTTGATACACCGCTGCTCTACCACTTGAGCTATCGTGACCTCGATCCACTCGGACACCAACTTCCCATCTCAACCACACCTTTAGAATTTTCCCTCCTTTTTGCCATTTTTCAAATGTCGTGTAATCAATTGGCGACAAATGAAATGGCCACGGAGAGCTTTAGTGAAGGATACTTCATTTCAAACTTATTAAATTGATTAGTTTCGTGGTCCGCTTGACCAATTAATATCATACAATTAATTAAGGTTTTTAGTTGAGATAAAAAAATCAATGGCACGAGCGGGATTCGAACACATGATCTTCGGCTTGATACGCTGCTGCGAAAGGAAAATGGCAAAAAGGAGGGATAATTCTAAAGGTGTGGTTGAGATGGGAAGTTGGTGTCCGAGTGGATCGAGGTCACGATAGCTCAAATGGTAGAGCAGCGGCGTATCAAGCCGAAGATTGTGGGTTCGAATCCCGCTCGTGCCATTGACTTTTTTTATCTCAACTAAAAACCTTAATTAATTGTATGATATTAATTGGTCAAGCAGACCACGAAACTAGTGAATTGACAAAGAAAAGTTTGATTCAAGACACCAATCAGCCCTGAACTCTTTTCCTGAGCAAAATTGCTATGTAAACCTTAACATGAGTTAAAGTAAATATGTTAGAGTAAATAATAAAGATCTATAATAATGTTAAATGTAATTATGGCTTATAAAGAAGTAAGTTTATAAATAATTTTGAACTTCTTTAATTTTTTAATTTATTTTTTTATGTTAAGATGTATAACTGATGGGTCACCAAGCTGGAAGGTATAGAAATAGTCGAAATTCTGTAATAAATAACAAAAAGGGGGAACTTAAGGGAAGTTCTCGCTCAATCAAGCTGAGAGGGGCATAAATTTGTGGCCTTATACTTGAGGATCATTGACTCTCAGGGAACCCTGCAGTGTTGCAGTATTAGGCAGGTGATCAGGGGCCATGACTGACCTTTGAAGAAGGGTGTTGACCTTCTGGCTGCAGAAATTCGCTTTTCCTCCGTTCCCTTTTGGGGGCCGATATAAAAGGAGAAGATTGGGAAATCAAATCAGTAAGGAGTCAGGAAACCAAAAGACCAGAGGCTGAAGGATGTGGACATTGGTGTTAACGAGTGTCGTCATGGGTAAATGAATCTTGTGAGTTAGAGTGGTGGGTTTTGTATTTTTAAAACAGTATCTTCTACATGTAAATGTTCTTGCCTCACTTATAGCCCATCAGATAATGGATTACAAATATGTCTTCCATTCAATGGTAATGAATTCCAGGACAGAGGATGTAAAAACTTCATTAAAGAAACCAATGGCAGAATGTATGACTGCTGACTGGACACTTTCGAATCCTTAGGCAGTGTAAACTTGGAGCAGAAAAAGTAAGCCTGTGCCAGGACCGGAGTTAGAAGGAGCAAAAAATGACTTCTGAGGAAAAGCCTGAGGCCTGAAGGAGTCCTTAACAAAACTTTGGGATCTGGTAAAAAGTCGTAAGCTTAACAAAGACCTCTGGACAATGATGGAGATTGCACAATAGACCAATATTTGTCACGTGATGGTTGTAAAGAGGCAGACTCCTTTTAACCTTTAGAGTTAGGGACAGTTTAGATTAGGTTAGGTTAGATTAGAGTTAGTGACGGTTTAAATCACATATTCAATGTTTTTCCATTAACTGAATAAAATATAAACAATTTTTATCCATTTCACATTTCAGTACGTATTCGTGTAAACATTTATATAGAAATATACGTAAATTAAAATTTGACACTGACCTACAGTTAGTTTGAATTTTGCTTGTACAGTACCAAGTTTATTCCCTCCGATGCATGTGTACACTCCTGAATCGTTTTGTTTAACAAAAGATATCTTTAATGTTCTATTGTTGCGAAGTAAATGGAGGGACGAACTGTTGTGGTCAATGCGGCTTTTGTTCTATTAAAAAACATTAAATATTAATAAACAATTTTAAGATAATTAGGAAAAAGGTTTTCGAGTACTTTAAACCAATATATGATTGGTTGTGGCACACCAACAATCGAGCAGTTCCACACTGATTCATCGCCAATTCGAAGTCGGTATTTGGTAAAATTCTTTTCATTGCCAGTAAAGTATGGAGCCACACCATCTGCAAATGAAAAAGAAAACTGAAAATTAAATGAGAAAGTGTTTGACCATGCGAGAACAAAGGAAACTAAATTCTTACCGACAACATCAACATACAAACTTGTCACGTTTTCCTTTTTATTCACAAAATCAATAGCTTGACAAGAGTACAATCCAGAAAAATCATTTGTCAGCCTATCAATTTTCAGTACAGATCTATGAGAGAATGCTGATGATACAGGATTTGATATTACTATTTCTAAAAGTAAAAAAAAGAAAAAAAAAAGTGAAAATTACAAATGAAATTATAACAATTAAAAATAATATAAAAATATAGTTTACCAGAATTATTTGATAATAATTTTGGTTCATTGTCAACTGAAGTTTGAAAGTACCAATTGAATTTATCGTGATACTTATATGCAGCAGCGCCACAAGTTAACGACAAACTTTCGTTTGTAAGTAATGGAAGGGTAGGCTTTAAAATTGCAAAGCCTCTTGGGATATCTACAAGATTATAAAAGGATTAATTTTATATCTTAGTTACATTGAATTGAAGCTCTAAAGCCACAAGAGTAGATGTTTATCAGTTTAATGTATGACTTGGAGACCAACAATCAGCACCAATTTTAAAATTTTTAAGACAATTTCATTTAAAAAAAAAACATAGAATGCAGAAAAACTGCATAGAAGGGCTCATTCATAATTTGCTTAAAACTACTGTAGTATACATGATTTCTGTTTATTCTTAGTATAAAGCAGTATAAAGTAATGAAGGTTGAGATGAAAATTAAGTGTCACGAGTGGGACACAAACCTGTATCTTGATCCACCATTTGACACACAGGAGTGGTAGGACTACTAACCGGTCACTGGTATATGAGAAAACATCTACACAACATGGGTATATACAGCGATGATCCCATTTGCAGATTATGTAATGAGGAGGAGGAAACAGCCACTCATATCATCTTCGAATGCGAAGCAACAGCTCAATGGAGGTTTAACCTAACGTACGGAAAAAACAGGGAATCAAATTGCAGGAGCAACAGTCAATGACCTGATACTTCTAAGAAGAAGGATTGAGTTTATTGACTGAACTAAGGAACTAGGAAGGTACAATAAGCCAGAAGGCTGCAGTGCCTGGGGAATACAAACCCAGCTTCCTAGTATCCTTTTCCACCGTACCATACTCCACCATTTGAGCTATCAAGACTTCACAATTCCTGAGACATCAACTCCTCATCCCAACTGAATATTGTTAAATTTTCCCCTTTGCATTATATTAAAAAAACTGGTTAAGATAATTAATAAATAACTAATAAGAATACTTGTAATTTGTTATGGTTGTTCCTACATCAATAATGCTTCCCCTAAGCTCGTTAATAACATCATTGAACAGCTATATGATGCCACTGTTTGAAAATTGGTGTAAAAAATTAATAGTAGTCGCTTAAAATGCCGGAGTACTGATTCAATGTCGTGACACTAATTTTTCATTTAAACCTTCTTTGCATTATATTAAAAACTCGTTAAACTATAAAATAACTTTTAACAATAATTCTTAGTATAGTCAAAATATGTGGTGAATTTAACTTCCGTTCCCTTCCTTTTTTTTTTTTTTTTTGTGTGTGTTCTTGGGCATTCTTGAGGATAAACTTTTTTGTACAGTTTCTAATGTGCCAAAACGGTTTAATCTAACTCTCTACTGTATTGGGAATAGATACGATTCTGCTGGGAAAAGTGGAAATTTGCACCAGGCGGAATTAAGGGTACATCCAAAGCATTGCGTTAGTTCAAGGAAATTGGTGCAAAGTTTTGGAACATATGATCAATTAATTTACTATCAACTAAAATGACAAATAAAGAAATTGATTCTTCTTGACGATTTCATTTTTCTTCAAAATAATGTTTGAAAATGGTTTATTTTTTGTAATAACTTGAGAACAGTTTCTCCATATTGAAAACCATTTGCATCGTTAAATTCAGCATCAAAAAACCTTTCATAGAATGTACATTGATGAGGAGCTATTGGACATAATTAAACTCCTATTCATTCCCCGCTGTTCTGGAGAGTTAGATCAAAACTTTTTGGCTAACGAGAATCTAGTCAAAAAATAAAACGTATTCTGGGTTTTTCACAAAAACGTCCTAATAAAAAATTAAGAACTGGGATCACAAGTTAAGCTCACCTTGTACGATATAAATAAATTAGCAAAAAATTTATTTAAATTTACATACCAGTAATATTGATAATGACTCTGCTGTGATGACATCCTAAATAGTTGCAAGCAGTACAGTTTATTTTCCCGACCTCTTTAGCGTGAAATTTTGAAGTATAATAACAATGGAAATCTGAAGGACAATTTTTGTTTAACTAAACAAAAGAAAACATCGTTCACTACAATATTTATCGATTGTACACAAAAAATTCTAATTTACAGTTAGTTGGGTTATGTTTCCTTGTGGACTTGTATCGCATATTTGATAGTCTTCGCAGTATTGAAATGTCGCAGTCACTTTAGCCCTTGGGTAAGAACTGACTGAGCAAATTATTAAGCCATGATCGTTAAGGTTAAATTCAGTTTTACTCAGGGACAGTTCTACAACTGGTTCACCTACATTGAAGATACAAATTTTAATTAAGAGGAAAGGAAACTTTATTTTTTCAACTTACCCTCAACCAAAACAGTTACTTCTAGGGTTTTATACAGAGTTCCACTATTAGCAACTAACTTGTAAACTCCATTATCAACGACTGATATACCCTTTATAGTTACATTAGTACCGAATGGTGTTTTTATGACTTCAAACTTTGATGTTGTAGTCAAAATTTCATCTTTTGGGCTGAACCTGAAAATTTAAATTAATCATTGCATGAGGATGAATATAAAAATGGTGCCCATACGAAATGCAAAATTGTAAAATGCACTTAACACTTGTAAAATTGTGATTTCTCAGGGTGACGAACCTGGAATTTGTTCATTATTGATCATTTTGCTTATACTTCCCAGGTCTGTCAAATTTATTTTGCTATCTTCTGTTGTCTTTCAAGACACCGACAAACAAAGATACCACCCCTCATGATTTTATAAAAGAGAATTTCACAGAATGATAGAATATGGTGAAATGTATCTGATAGACCGACCAAGGATCGACACACCAAAATAATTGGTAATGACCAAATTTAAAGGCCAGCATTCCTACTGAATTCTGTCAAGTGGCAATTTTTTTAAAGTACATTTTTACAAAAATTTACCAGTTGAATGCAGCTGGAGGATGCGCATCGATTTTAACATACCAGGTCGCCACAGAACTACCAGGTTTAACATAAATTGTTGAGTTTCCATTAAGTATTTTCAAATCCAAATAGTTTACATCGTGTTCTGTAAAATACAAGAATGTGTGTGAACTGTTAATAATCATCATAAAATAATTTGATTGTACCTAAAACCTGAAGAGTATAATTAGCTGATACTTCGTTTTCGAGTTGGTCTCTAACAAAGCACACGTATGTGCCTTCGTCCGATTTTGAGGTCCTATTAATAGTTAATGTCGAGTATCCAGTTTTTGTCATTACATTCCCATCTTTGTCATATACTGGATGAACGCTGTCTTCAATATTCCAGTTGTCCTAAAATTTAAAAATAGTTTTAAAATAGTCACAATTACACAACGGGAACACGACAATTTACATACAACATCTTTTATATGGTCATTATTTTCACTGTTTATCTCCCAAAACATTCGAATCATGACTGTCACATCTACTTCAACAGAGCATTTCAATACAACTTTATCCCCAACGATAACGTTGCTCTTCTCTTGGTTTCCGTTCAATTCTATGGTCGGAGTGGGAATATCTGATATACCTAGAAGCCGAAATTGTCATAGTAGTCGATTGTAGACGAGTTGCATGCAAAATATTTTTCAAATATATCCAAATGGAGGCTATGTCTTTCAAAATTGGTAAAATTCCATGCGACAGCTACAGCAAGCAATATAACAATACATATACAAGCAATAAAAGGAAAACATTCATACATATTGTAGAGAACTAAAACAATTTATTTGGAAAGAAAAGTAAACAGAAAAATTGTAAAAAGAATGCAATAACCTTAATATGAACTTGTATATGTAAATTAATTTTTAAAACATTAAACATTACATATTTTTAAAACAACAAACATTAAACTGAAATACAGAAAGAAACAGGAAAATTCACATCCTTGATTGAGGCATTAATCAATATAAGATATCATTTTTTTCCATTACTATGTTTCATTATTTCATTATGCTATTGAATTTTAAAGCAATCCTATTTAACAGCAATTCTGTTAAATCTATTAATTAATAAGTGCTTGAGTAAATTAAAGTGCTGTGAGTAAATTAATGTTGAAATGAGAGATAGATGGAGAGGGTGAGGGAACGAAAGGAAAGAGAAAAAGAAGATGGCATGAGTTGGGAGTGAGAGTGAGAGACATTTAAAGAGCAAAATGAAAGAGAAAAAGTGAGAGAGAGAGAGAGAGAGAGAGAGAGAGCAAGAGAAAAAGAGAGAAAGTGAGAGCGAGAGAAAGTGAGAGCAAGAGAAAGAGAGATCGTAAAATATATAGGAAAAGGGAAAGTGAGAGCGAGAGAGAGNAGGAAGAGAGAGAGAGAGAGAAACAGAATGAGGAAAGGGAGAGGAGTGACAGAGAGAGGAAAGAGAAAGGGAGAGAGAGATCATAAAATACATATAAAAAAAGAGAAAGGAACAGAGAGAAAAAATGAGAGGGGGAAAGAGGGAGAGGGTAAGTGGAGAAGGAGAGAGAGTGAGGGAGTGAGAGAGAGAGAGAGAGAAATGTTATGGAAAGTGATAGTGTGTTTGAATTTTTTGTGATTTCGTTAATGGATTTCTTCTTTCAACTTACTTGAATGCATCAATATTTCAAAATATGCCTCTTGGCTCTCATCCAAATATTCAGCTAAGCAATGGAACACAGATGGTATATGTGCTCTTTTAGAAGAGTGTATTTTGAATCCCATTTTATTGGAATAAGTGAAGTCAAAATGCTGAAAGATAATCTTTTCGTTAAATATAATAATATGTAAATACAAGTAATTTAACTGAAAAAGAAAATAAGTAATCTATGCCTCCTCAGTTTGTTATAAAGTCTTAAAAGAGCATGCTGCTAACTATGATAAACTGACATTTCTAATCGTGATAAAAAAATTGTCATAAAAAATAAATCAAATACAATAGTCTGTGTAACTTTTTTTAGTAATGCCATCTTGATTATTTGATTGACAAAAGCAATTATTCACATGAAACAAGCTTTTCCACTTAACTAGTTTTGTTTTGTTCATTTTATGTACAAATTATATACAATATTTAGAGAGGTATAAAATGAAAAGAAAAAAATTTAATACATATCAATTTATGGAAATACACTGCTCTGATGTGCACATGCGCCAAAATATAGCAAGCAAATGTTTTGAAAGTATTGAATGTGTGAAAATTGCCATACACAATACAATAAATATTACAAAGCAACAGAGAATCTTTTGACATCATTCATAGCACAAATTCACATAATATTCTTACTGGTGACTGCGAGGTGTATTATTACTTCTTGATGTCTGTTTTCATCGTCTTGTGCCTTACAAAAATAATCCCCAGTATTTCTTGGTCTAATATTGTTTAGTATATATCCTATTGTATTAAAATATTCAACTTCCATCCCTCGAAATTTACCAACCTGAACCTACATATAAAATGTTATAGCAGCATGCATGTTAATAAAAATGAGATTTTTTTAGCCGGAAATTAGACTGAACCAATTTCTATTGTATTTTCATGAAATACTGTATTTTTTAAACTTTTAACTAAACTATCACAAAATCTACCTCTGTTGTTTATACTTTATGTTTCATTTTTTTTTTTTTTTCAATTTATAAATATTGATCATCACAAAGAAAAAACGATTGATGTTTTATGTAACACTGATGCACTTGTACTGACAACATGGACAATATATGTTCAATGAATATTTTAATGAATTATAAACAATGTTGATTCATGGGTTTTGCATTTATTTCTGTCAGATTTGTAGATAATAGAAAAGAAAGCATGATTAGCTCGATTTGGAGTAGCATGATCTTCCAATTATCTTACAAACTACTTTGTTAAAAAATTAAATTAAGAAAAATTTGTAGTTTATATTTGACTAATGAATAAATAAAATGACATTTCACTTTCTACATATGTGCAATTTGACAAATTGATTTTAATCAAATGCATTTGAAATAATGACAATCTGGATCTCGGTATAGTCTGGATTGAAAAAACCAATTCTGTTGTTATCTGCCAAGCTTCCGGCTTATTTTAAGGACATCATCAAGGCAAAACAATCTTAAAGATGTCTACAAATTGACATAATGGTTTTAAATTTCTTTGAAGTAAGACTCAGACGTGTTAACAGTCCTCGGCAATGTTGGGGACCAAGTCAGTCTTCAAAGAAATTTGAAATTATCTATTAACAAACTTAATTATGTCAATTTGTAGACATTTTTAAGATTGTTTTGCCCTGATGATAACCTTAAAATAGGTCAACAACTTGGCAGGTAGCAGCTGCATTTTTTTTCATCCAGACCATACCAAGTTCCAGATTATTCTTTGAGTAAAAAAGTTGTCAATACATCTAACACGTTAAACTAAAATCAAGTTTTCCTACAGACAAATGCTTATTATTTTGTTATATTATGCCAGAGTGCTTAAGGAATGATAATAATAGCAATAAAAACAATGGTACATCCAGCTGAAGCTAAAAATGCAATAAGAAATATGATCGAAAGGAAATGGCTGTGTTGGTGGGTCAGATTGGCAGAGAAGCTCCTAGGACAGAGTTGATAGTCCTCAGTGGATCTGAATCAGGGAAGCGTCATCCTCACCCTTTTTAAGAATAGGCCATATGAGGTTGACACACAGACACTTACTTTTGGGCCAAAGCATAAACGTCCAATGGCATTTAGTGGTTGCTTGATGTTTCCCATTTAATTTTAAGGTGTCATTAATTAGCGTCATATAGAGAACTTGTAAGGATGCCAATTTGATTATTGGATTATTTGGGTCTCCGACTCATAGTTACCACTACTCAACCAAGCTAGAGGCCTGGGACCAAATCCTGGCATAACCCTTGTAATTTTATTTAAAAAATATTGCAAAGTAGACCATGATAATTGACAGCTTAGATTAGATTACAATATGAGCCAGCCTTTTTACAACTTGCAAACAGTATTATTTTCTGCATCTCTATTTTGCTGTCTAGAACTCCTCATTAAGCTTTTTACCAGACCCCAAAGCTTTTTTAAGGAATGCCATGTGTATCCTTCAGGCCCAAGCTTTTCCTCTCCCAGGAGTAGCAATCTCAGCCTAGATAAGTCTTCACACCACAGACGACATGTTCTCCTGTCTCATCTTCTTCCTGGCAATATGTGCATAGGCTTGTTTCTGCCACTCCGAGTCTAATCGTATACTTTTGGAGTCTGAAGTGTCCAGTTGGCCGTCTTTCTATTATTTTAGTCCTAGTTCATCCTAGATTTAGTAGTTGTTCCAATAGTTTCTGTGATGGTCCTTTGATGAACTTTTTCTCATTCCTGTCTTGGGCAACAGTCCTGTGGAAGAGGGTACTTATTTTTAATCCATTGTCTGATTTGTTTTTGGCAGTTAAGTATGCTACAAAAGGGATGAGTTGTCCTCATCGTACATTCCTTCGCCAATTTATAGGCCTGTTCGCGCCCCTCTCACCTTGTGCCCTCGTACCTCGTCAGGGGTAATTTGTTATTTTTTCCAATGTCTGACAGACCTTAATGAAATCCCAAATGACTCTGGACTTTACTACCGATGTGATAATTGCCCTCAGTGCCATCTGGCTGTCCGAGTAGATGACTCTTCTTCTGTTAACTTACATAATCTGTTAATCTCCTTGGCATAGAGTTCAATAGCCAAAGTCTCCGCTTGAAAGGCAGTATTGCCCAAGGTTTATATGAATTATAGTCCTTGGTTTATTTCCAGCTCCTGACACACATTCAACTTTGGTGCCATCCGTATACCAGATAACTGGGACTTTTGTGCCAAAGGGATCTTGATAATATAATACAAACAAGATATCTGGTGATTAGCTAAGCTGGAGCTGGAACTAAAGAATGGTTTTAAGAGGGAAACAGACTCTGTAAAAGCATGTGATACGTTCAACAATATAAATTATTTTCAATTGATATAATTAATTAAATGTTAGTGGTGTTAATTTACACGCAAAAGTTGTGTCAGAGGTAGAATTTGAACCCAGATTTTCAGATTTTACTCCTGCACCTTTTTTATTTTTTTATTGGGGGAGGGGGTCAACTAAAAATTTTAAAAAATGGTGACCCGTGGTTGTAAATGGTAGAACCCCTCTGATTGTAAGAATACCTTGGAAAGCTTACTTTTTGTTATAAAATGAGCACTATTACAATCACAAACGACCCGATGTCTTTGGTTTCTCTTGTCAGAGTTAGCATGTTTCTCTCTCTGCTTTGCCTATCTTCTTTAGGTAGTAGTTTCAGTATAAGGCTTATGATTTTCCTCCAATCCTGCCTGCTAAGAGGAGTTACCTCACTTTATGTTTTTCAATCACACCATTTTTCCAGCTCCAGCTTTAACTCTCAGGTGTGGTTTGTTGTGGATTCCATTCCCATCTGTTTTGATTGTTCATTTCCCTCTATACCTTCACATCCCAGAACCCACTTTAAGGCAAACTTGTATTCCTAGAACAGGCAATTTAAGCAAACCCAGTCTAGTTTGGAGCTGTAGTGAGCACATTTAATGGTGTAAAAATGGTGACCCTTAAAGTACTGACCCCTTAAAGTGTTGACATCAGCTCCTCACCAAAATTTTACAGGAAAACACAATGCGACCAAATGTGCCACCATGGTAGACAAATAAATGCAAGAAATATGAAGATACAGTACTAGAAAATTTGCCTAAAACTTCACAATTGTAGACCCATCTAGATAGTTTCCAATTTTATCTATTGTTTAGTTGGTAGAATGGAATCCTGAAGAGAAGCCATGTACAAAAAAAGAATTTTACACCCACTCCCAAATTCTATTTGTGAAATGTACATTTGTAATATGTATCACACATACACATTTGGCAAATGTAAAGTTCTTCTAAAAATAAAAAGAAGAAAAGTAGTCAGTATTTATGCTTTAATAATTTCAACACCATTAATTTCAATTATTGTTAATTACTGGTTATTTTAACAATCAAAAGCTCTACTGTGCTGTAATTGACCGTAGATTGAAATAATAAAATCGTGTAGTGATAGCTTGTCTTCTAATCATTGCTTTTTCTTTATATTTATTATGAAAAATTAATAAAACACTCATGGAAATTAATGTAGAGGGTTTTTGGAGTGTATGTGCAGAGGTAGAAGCTGTGATAAACATCAAGTGCTAAAATTTTCCGATTTAATTTATATGTTACTTAATTGGTGAAATTTTAACTTACCATATTATTTTGATTGGTCAGAGTGACTTTAATGTGAGGAGATGTAGGCTTGCATGGAATGATCAAATCTTTATCCTTTTCTGCATTGAAATGCATGATACTGAAACTATCATCTATTACGAGAAGGTGTTTTTTATCTGAAATCACCAATTTTGACACATTGGACGGTGTGTTATGTATATAATTTGCAAATTTTCTATAATTTACCTGTTACAAAGATGTATATTTGTTGGGATACATTAATATTATTCAGAGAAACACACGTATAGTATGCCGTATCCGAGTACTTCAAATTCTTTAAAGTGAACGTTTTGGTGTAAGTATTATTACTATAAGTACTTGTAATATTCCATCTCTTCTCAGATTTGTCATCTTTTACAAGATTTTGCTGAAAAACAAATACAAATAAATACACAGTTGTATAGTGAGTGTTTATTTGCAACAAATATTTTTCCACTCATGAGCATAACTTTTGAGAAGAAGCCCTCATATGAGCTCCAACATGTCTAAAATATTTCTCAAACGTTTGCATAATTAAAAAATAATGGAATGCCACATTATAGAAGAACTATACTTAAGCACAGTGAGTTTCCTGTCCCAATTTTTGCAACGGATAGTCATCTATTGTATACAGTTGTATCACGCATGCATGTATACTGAGAGAGGGAAATTTATTTCATCCATTGGAAGATGAAATGACATAATTGTCATTATCCTTATACTCAAAATTCATTTGACAAGACCTAAGGTCGACCAATGGACCAGTTTTGGTCAGAAGTTTATTTCATAGGTACTAATAATAGGTGATAATAAATGACTTTACATTACATTTGAACCAATTTCAACTTACTGTTAAATCTATGACCCATGTAATGGCTTCCGTGTGTATACATGTGAGCTGCAATGTTGAACCGCTCGGCATAATCAACTCATCTTCAGAAGGAATTATTGTCAAGCCTGGAATCAATTATTAATTATTAACAATGGTAAACTTTGCAAAAAATATTTATTTGTATCTAGTATATGAATATAAACATTACAAATTTTTATTTATGCTATAAAACCCGAATACAATTGTATTACAGTGAGAAGTGTATCTAGAGAACCTGTGCTGTAAGAAGCCAACCAACACTGGTAATCAATCTGCTGACATATTAATAGTTAGCAGGTCTCTGGGTCATTCAAGGTCACCTACAGGGTTCTTGGGATGGGGACAGAAAGGTTTGAGTGGTATGGTAAAAATGAGTTGAAAGATTGTGAAACTTGGGGAAGTGAGAACGGACAAATTCTTTAAAGAAGGTGATGTTAAAAGTAGACAGGAACTTGGAAAATTCTTCTGAGGAATTGTGGCTAGAATGCTTAGATTAGTCGGATATTAGATGGCTTGGTGGTACCCCACAGCGCTATTTGTTACTCTCAAGATTTTGTTCCTGTTTTCTGTTCAATCCTTGTCATTTCAGTCTACTGTGGAGATTGTACAAGCCTGTTTTTTTCCATTCTTCACTACCACCAAAGGTGGTACTGGGATTGGCAGGTCAGCAGTTTACATAGAATAAAGGATGGGACCGAAAATGCTCCCTTGTCGCACGCCAGCTTGGATCGGTCTTGTCTCTGAGAACTCATCACCACACCTTGAAACAGTGATGTTTAATGACCTCTTCACTATGGCCCAAACTGTGTAGAGGGGGGATGGCCTGTAATGGCCCGTATTAGAAATGGTGTTTGGGAACATTGGCTTTGGGAGCTGTCTCACTAAACATGTCAAAGTTGGCCAACATGCGCGAACAAAGTACGCAGTAGATAGGTGACGTGTCCACTCACTGGGCCAACATTGCCGGCCATTTCAGTTGTTGACAACCAGGTTTCTGTTAATAATATGCAAATTGTACGTCACAGCAATTGTACATCCTAGCCAAACACAAACTGCAGCAGCGATTTCCTCGACCTCGATGTCCATGACGGCACGGTTAAAGTAAGCAACTGCAGCCATTGAGGCCATGAGCCAAAGGTTGGACCAACTATTGGCTCAGTGTGTGGAGGCAATTCCATGGCCAATGTGGCATGGTTCCGATCTTAGTGATCAATGTATTGGCCTGTCATGGCCCATAGTGAAGAGTGGGCCTTTAGGATGTAGTAATGAGGAGTTGGTAGGAACTGCTTTAGTTTGAAGAGAACTCCAAGATGCCGGATCCAATAAACTTAATACAACCATTCATTGTTTATTGCTTTTTTAAAATACTACGCTATATTTATTTATTTTGCGGGTTGTTGGTTAACAACTAGCTGTCTTGCCGACACGATTTACGCTCGGTTGAACGCGGACAATCGAGGAGGAAAATTTAATCGCCAAGTGGAAAAGGAGTGGCAGCGGAAATCACAATAAATAACGTTTCAATCGGAATTCTCTTCTCCATCGGACCAATTTTCTAGGATTAAGTGAAATTTAAACGAGAATTGAACGCATGTAAATCTATTCATTTTTGTACAAGCCAAACGGTTTGTATTAAACAAAGGTCGGGGTTCCATAGTCTGAAGAAATGTTCAACGGCCGACATAAATCATATCATAGTTCAATCGAGAAAAGATTTGACCGAGAAAGCTACAAATTCCATAAAACTTCGAGAGCATAAACTGCCGATGGTGGCCTCTGACAAACTGAAGTCACGGTCGTACTTATTCTATACACACATATCTACTTCCTGATCAAATGGGAAAATAAAAATTTAAGTAATCCGTTTTCGTTATAATTATCAGCGTGCATACACAGTCTGAATAAGGAAAGAAGCAAGGCGAGATACGAACAAGGAGGACTTTGCATTGATCAGAGTGAATCCCGTCCGAGCAAACGAGTAGAAACTGAAATCGCAAAGAAAGGAGCTGTCAGGTCTGTTTGAAGGCAGCTAAGGAAAAAAGTGTGATAATTTAAAAAATATAATAAAAGAAAATAGGAACGAAGAATTCCAATCAAATAATCTTGTTTTTGAATGCGATATCAAATCGCGCCATAACAATAAACGTTATCGTTATAGCCAAGAGCTAATTAATTATTTCTCTCTTCTTTTCTCTTCGAGTTGTTTCGTTTATTTACGTTGTGATTAAATAATTTATTTTTCTTGATTGTTTATGACTGCATTGTTATTTGATAGTCTCAGGGGCGTCGATGGCCGCAACGGTAGGCGTTGAAACGGCGCTCATCACTGTGAAAGGTAAAGGTCCCGGGTTCGAACCCGACATACTTAAAAATGGGTTTTTTCAAAAACACCGGCACCACGAGGATTGAGATAACCTCTGCTGTTGCAAACCCTCATACAAAGAAAAAAAGCCTCATCATGTTTATGTATTTATTTACATACTTTAACAAAAACAAGACAAACATTTTTTATATAATTATATTTGCGCCATATACATATTCGCACATATTAGAAATGCGATTACAAAACTTTTTTCACACGGTCATAGCACTAACACTAATGCTCGTGATGACACACTGGTCTGAGGAGGATCTGCAAGACCATAAGATCGGATAGCTATGCAGCTATTAAAGCATTAGTGTGTGAAAAAAAATCACATCAAAATTAAACAGTGAATGCATGCCAAATCTCCAAAACCTGGGGAAACACAACAACCTGATGATATCTTGGGGGTCACAAAAGAATTATGGGTAACGAAAAAGCAGGCGATCTGCAAGACCGTACACAGTCCCCGAATCTGTACTTGGGATAACAAAAACAAATACAGAATCCTCCATCACAGAACGGATCCAAATAAAACAAACGAAGTGGATCAATTGTAGGGGCGCTAGACACATTAAACTTATTCTAAAACAACCCTCACCAAGACTGACAAATTCACTTCTGCAATTGGAGAAGGCCAGACTCAGAGGATGACAAATCTGTGAGTAGTACCATCATCAAGGAATTTGGACATTGAAGGAAGAATTTTTTTAAAAATCCAATTCAGATTTTAACGTTTTTTACCAAAATGTTTACTAACTTTCCACTTTCCGCATTTTTTTCTTACGAATATTTGCAATACCCTTTTAAACCTATATAGTACTGAGAAAAGGCATTCGATACAAATAATAAAATATAAATATACTCTAAGGAGATGCACTTCTAAAAAATAAAACAACGGTAGGTTTATTGCTTTCGCAGTTTCATCGCTTGGCAGACCGCAACTAATTTAATTTAAGATCATCAAACTACCGTGCCGTGCCAGTTTTTTTTTTATTCAGCGTAAACCTACTATTGTTTACATACCGTTGGATGCCAAGTATATCGAAAGCCCTCGTTCACATTTATATCACAGTCCTCACTGGGGAGATGGAGGTGATAAATATACAGTTGCAATGGTATGCACGTTACCGGGTTAAGGTTGGCTATTATAATAACGGATCAAATTTAAAATGGTAACCAGAGTTTCTATGCTAATCGTTTAAAAACAAATTTACATACACAAAGATCAAGAAGAAATGATTACCACCACCCCAAACGTGAAGACCTTTTTGTATATATTACAACAAGCTTATTCGCATAAATAATAAGTTTAGTTTTTAATTAGGAGCAGGATACAGCTTAGAATACCACACCATAGAGGTTACGCAGATGATCTGGTAACAATCATAAAAATGTCTCTCCATGGCACTCTAAATTAAATGCAAAACGTTCTAAATATTGTAAGAGAAGGTATAAGAAAATGGGTTTAAATATAAACCCTAAGAAAACCTACCTCATACATTTTACAAGAAGAAGGAAGATAAATCGTAAAGTATCCACTATAAAAGTTGAAGACTAACTTTCTCCTAAGAAACTAGTATCTAGGTATAACGCTTCAGAAAACACGTAGGCAGCATTCTGCCTAAAGCCAAGGCTGTACTAAGCATTGGTCAGAGATTATTCAGCAAAAACTGGGGAATAAACTTCAAGATAGCGTATTGGTTATATATGGACATACAGAACTCTTAGTATGACCACTAACAGTGAACAAGGAGAGACAGAACAAGCTTCAAAGTTTACAAGTTTACGAAATTGAATTGAAGCCCGTTCCAGGTATTCTCCAACGATCTGTGGGGCCTTGCATTGTCATGCATAAAAATAAAACCGTCACCATTTAGTGCCATATAAGGAACAACTTCTGATAACAAATGTACCACGAACCCGCTAAAGAACCCTCGGTGAAGGCTAACTTTGTACGACCTTCCATAGAAATGCCTCCCAAACCCTAACAGCATAACCTCCATAGGTTCTCCGGAGTGAAAATGTTGCCGGGATACATCGCTCTCCTGTCCTTCTCCAAACACTCTCTCAGACGTCAGAAGACCTCAAGCCAAACCTTGACTCATCCGAAAACAATATTTTAGTCCAATCTTAATCAGACCAATTGCTGTGAATTCTTGTGAAACTTAACCGAGCTGTTCTGAGGCTTGTCACAAGTTCTGAATCAGTGGCAAGCCTCGCACGTAATCCAGCTGTTGAAAGTATTCGCCTTACAGAGCGTAAGCTGACTTTAAGATTTCTAACTTGTTGGTGTTGTTGCTTGATCTTAACAGCGGTATAATGTCGATTACGGAGTTTATAATATTCGAAACAATAAAACGATCATTTCTCTGTGATGCGACACGATGGCGACCTGATCCATGCCTTCTTGAGTACCTCCAGTATCTTGGTAGAGATGGAAAACCCTTCGGACAGTTGTTCTGGGAATGTTCAGCACTCTGGCCGCATACGCAAGACTTCTCCCACAATACTATGATTCTAGCCACTAAAAACCATCACTAACAAATTTAAAAATGGTACAACTTAAACAAATGAAACCACCTGAACGTTAGTAAGAAGCTTTACAAAACCAACAAAGAAGAGAAATATTCAATGAATTATTTACACTGCAGTGAGAACCTATGTAAGGTAGGTGTCACTACCGGTTCTGGAATGGTCTCGCCCTCCACTCTGCAGCGAATC